TGTGTTTTGTGTAATGATAATTAGGTGAGTATCTAGTGTCTTGGAAAATGGACCTTTCTATACCTGTGTGAGAGTGTTGTAGTGGAAGGCTTTTATGTGGACCTTGAAGATTACAGCTGTACTTGGAAACAATTAGGAAAGCTTTACTGATGAAGTAAGATTTGGCCTTCTATTGCACAAAAACAAAGGATTATTCTCTGCATGAAAACTACTAAGGTATTTGTTAAGGATGTAATTTGAGGGATCAGCAGTTAGCTCAGCCAAAGCTTACCTTGAGAAAGGTCTGGGAGTACTTGGAGAAAGGTGTAATTGCAAACACTAAGTACTTGATGCTGTCTTGTACTCAGTTTCCCCCACTTATTCATTTCCATTACGCCACTACTTTGATTGCTGAGTTCCCAGTGAATTACTGGTGAGCAGAAGCTGTGTGTTCAGAACAGGGACCTACTGAAGGTGTGAGCATGTGGGAGGACTGTTGTTTTGGTTTTTTTCAAAGGAATCTGTCACTTTAGTTTGCATCAGAGCAGTCCCATCAAAGAACCAGGAGATGTGTTTAACTCGGGATACGTACTGACGTACTGGTACAGTGCAAGATTTGGTTAGATATTTTTAAAAGACCCTGACCTGGAATATATTTTTATGCTGAAATCAATAGCAACTTTGCTTATATACAGTGAGATGAGATGTCTCCAGCTGTAGGCACTTTGTTGAACCCAGGTATTTTAGTTACTGGTGAATGTAAACACATAATTTAACAACAACTGTTAAATCCAGGATGGTGGGCATGGGCACCCTGCTCCCTTCTTGGCTCGCCTTTTTTAACCTGTTCCTATACAACCCAGTCATCAGAAGGTGCCACCTGACAGTTGGGATAGTTTTCTTTTTATAAATACAAAATTAAGTAAAATTCACTGCTTTCTAGGTGCATCCTGTAAGACTTCATGTGATACATTAGTAGCTACTTGGTAAGTCTGATGATTTTTTTTATGAATGTTCAGTCAGCACTCTCAGATTTATGACTATTTATAAACGTAAATAAAGCTGCTTTTGGATACTTGAGCAATAGTGGTGACAAGCCACTGTGCCGCTTGTGACTAGCTAGAAGACTGTGACACATTCTCTTGAAACTGAATTGTGTAGTAATTCATGCTACTTTGTGCTCTGAACTTGATTATTGTCATTCCTTTGCCCAGCCTGAAGCCACCCAGCGCAGCGGCTGCCTCTGTGGTAGCCTGGCAGGATCCAGGGACCCTGCTGCTCTTGGGGTACCCTGACTTCTTATAAGGGGATTCCTTTGCAAAGTTTTCTCCTCTTTGGAGTCTCTCAAGTCTCTCCTTTCTCACCCTGCTTTCCTGCTCATGATGTGCTCCTGCACTGATGTTCCTCTGAGGTGGGAGGGCTGGGGAGAATAGGAAACCATGGCTTTAACAGAACTAAATTCCTTAACTCCCAGTGAGTTCTTTGCCAGTGGGTAAGTGCTTTCCTTTTTTAACTGCTGCACGTAAGCGCCAAACTAATTTGCAAACTCATGCCGTGTTTCATTCAGGATTGGAGGGAAGATAACATATAAACAGTTGACAGAATTTTAAAACATTATCTGGCGGCAAATACTTCCCAGTTGAATGCTAAAAAGTTAATTCCTGTGCAATTCTGTCTCTAAGGCCAGATTTTGCTGTGAGAGTTTGGAGGGTTGGTTTTGTGGTCTGTTTTACCACATGAACCTAACAGAGCAAAGACAAATATTCTAGATTAGTAATCTGTGAATAGACGTGAAAGTAGTTTTGTTCTGGTTTGTTGGGGATTTTTTAGCCTGCTTACTTTCAGATAGGTAGTTGTTTGCAAAATCTCATAAAGTTAGGATTAATTTCACAAGCTTTAATATACTCCATATTATTAACATTTTTGAATACTCTTAATCTATCTTTAGAACCACGTATGCATTTTAAGGCACCGCAACCAGGAGTTTTATGGCAATTACTGTTGTCAGTATCATATCTGAAACTCTACTTTATCCTTTTTACAAATATAAATGAACCCAAAATAACTGCCTGGCTCCTCAAATAAGTGAAGTATATTTGAAGCTCCCATACTGGCTTGTATTCCTTTCCTGAAGGTATTAGACTCCAGAAGGGCTGGGGATGGCTGCGTGAGCAGTTGCAGCCGCTGGTGGGTGGGTTCCTCTTGCAGCTGTTCATTCCAGGAGACTCGTTGTGCTGCTGTCTCTTTTTCTTCGTGTTCTTGTGTCTAAGAATGTTCTCCTGGTACTTGCATGGTATGTACTCCAGCTGTAACTTAATTTTCACCCTAATGTTTTCATGATGGTGTGCTCTCTGCACAGTGTGGGTATTGATAAGCACCTGCTTGGCAAAGGGTATTTCAGGGTATTAGAGCGGGGGTTGCCAGAAAGTCAGAAATAGCTGACAAGGCTGTTTTATTTTCTTTGGGGAGGCTGTGCTTTTTATTCACGTATCACTTGCCAAAGGTATTATGTTTCACTCAGCATAGCCAACCTTTTTTTCATCTTTTTTTTTTTTGCCATAACATGCAGATTTTGTTCCTTGTTTTTAGAGTGAGAATTTTCCTTGAGTGAATTCAACTAACATGTTAAAAACATACTGATTAGGTGGCAGTTTTAGGCCCATATTAGAAAACTTGGAATTATGACTTCTTCAGCAGATATAGATACATTCAAAATCTTATTATCTCTAGAGCTTCATGTAATCATGTAGGCTGACTGCAAACTCTACAGAAGAACCTCTGATTCTCTGGTATTCTGGGCTAGAAACTCGATGGTTCCTTCATTTACATCAATTATTGTTTTACATATAGGTAAAATAAACTTTCATTAAATGTCATTATACCTATTTACATGTAATCAATCCCATAGCCCAGTGTTAAATACTTCAGTGTCAGTTTAGGGATATATTGTTGTCGTTGAACTATAAACTCACATATAATAGCAACAGCATAGGAATTATAAGACAATATCCAAAGTCTTTGAGGCTTCAGCCGGTCACCACAGTTGGGACTTTCCTTTGAGAGTGGTGGAGATGTTCTTGGATTGTGAATAAATTGATATATGATACTACTTGACAGCTGCACTCTGTGTACATAAGAGTTGGGTCCTTCCCTTAACATCTTCATTAAAGCCATCAGTAAGATCTTTACCAGTATGGCCCATGCTTTACTCTTGTAGGAGTTTATAATGTGCATTGCTACTTACGAATGTAGCTGTTTATTTCACATGAAGTAAGTATTGCATATTGCCTATAGACTGGGAGCATCAATGGAAAATAAGTATTTCTTTGGGTTGCACTTGGTCCAGGTGCCAGAGGGTTTTTTGGACTGAGATGTAGAAACTTTTGTTTTAATTGCAAATTTATTAGGGAAAACAACTTAGCCAAAAGGTGAGGTTCAGTGGCAAATTCTGCAACCAGGCTATACATCCCTGTGCCACCCTATGTTTAATGGTATTATTTCAGTTTCAGCAACTGCTTTTGTGAAAAAGTGATGTTAGAAAGGCATTTAATGTAATACTAGAGTGGGATTAATACAAATTATGAGCTAGAAATAAGAAGGAAACATCATGTTACCTGTCTGCTCTTACCAGACCTCAAGCGAATGCTTTACAAACCACAGTTTGGTTTTCTGTTCCAGCTCTGAAATTCCAGTATGTGATTGTTTCTCAACCAACTTGGGTGCTGCTGTACCTTCTTTCTCTTGGTTTTAAGAGGTCAGAAAAAAAGAACAGACTGTTAAAAATGATCTGAAAAAATTGGAGCCTTTCATATGAATATTGGTGAAGCTGTGATTACAAGTTGGAATTTGCCTAACTCACTCTAGTAAAAGCTTTGTCCAAACTTTTAATAACTTTTTCCCTTGATGAATAGTCTCAATGGCAGATATTTATTGTTATGTGCAATTTTCGAGCTGTCTTTCCAAGTCCGTAACTAATAAAACCATAACAACCACCTAAATAATAGTTAAGTTATATGGATTCGTAGCATTTCAATTGATGAGTAAACCATTCCAGTATATTGGCGTTTGGCCACTCTGCTATGTAATAGTGTTTTTTATGAAGTATTGCTGTAGCAACAGATCTGGATGACATTGGGTAGCTGGTTGCTGCTGACTGTTGGAAATAAAACAGGTTTTAGCAATGCATGTGTAATGTCTGAAGGTAAAGTAACCCAAAATAAATGCCTGTGCTCTACTGGGAATGTGGTATGGGGCTCATCAAGCTGAGGTCGGACTTAGTGACTTAATCCTTCTGTGGAAGTGTTTCTGTACACTGAAAACAAAAGCATATATGCTAGTAATATGTGCAATGGTTGAAATCTGAGAATAAAATAAAGGTGAACTGAGAGAAACTGTATTGCATATGATTTTAAGCATAAAATATCAGTTATTTTAAAGGCATTAATGATTCTAGTACTGTAGGAAATGCTTCTGAAAAGCTTGTTGGGGAAAGAGGATACAGAAAAGATTAAAAACTTCACTTGCTCTTCTGAAGAATCAGCAAGTGAAAAAAGGCTTGAGAAATAGAAAATGAAATGAATTAAAGTGAAGCTGAAACCTTTTATTAATGACTTTCATTTAGAGCAGTATTTCTTGGTTACTAAAGCATTGAGCATTTGTTATATACCACAGCCAAGTTAAAAACTTAGCAGAGGATTTAGATCGATATAGCAAAGTAATATCTTTAGATAGGGAGATCTTCAGAAGTCAATCAAAGAAAAGGCAAAACCCCAGAGGAAATATATTTTTCTTGTCTCTTCATTGAAGATGTAAGTCCACTTTAAAGATGGAAAAATACAGTCACCTTTATATATGTTAGCAGGTCATAAGAGAATTTACTGTCATCGTAGTACAATGTTATGCCTTCCAAATGAAGTACTGTATTACAGTATACACCAAGCACACTTTCAAGACTTTAATGAAATTTTTTGATAGTCTAATAATCAGATTTTGGTTGTTTGGTTTTTTTTTTTATTTTAAAGATAAAAATACAGACATTACTGTAAAGGATAATGCAGATGATTTCTGCCTTCGAGATACACTAAGCATTGCATCAACAGACTCCTTTGTTTCCACAGCTGAGGTAAGACTCTTAAAGATTGCTTCTTTAAAGATTCATTGATCTATTTGAACAGTGAACAGAGGAATCTTAATTTTGTGCTAATGTTTTTAAACAGACTGTATTTGTCTTGGGGCAGGTGGGTGGAGGAGAAGCTTTCCCTGCTTATTTGTAACCAGTTTCCTGGGAATTCAAGTAACGAAGTTGGGATCAACTTGTGCTTTTTGGTTTTTTTTTTGGTGCACTGGCAGAATGTTTCCCCAGCTTCTTCTAAAAAGAAGTTGCTTTTGAAAAATAGATCAGATTTTCATGAGTGAAGAAGCACAATCAATTGAGGCTCTACTAGTTCGTTTCACCATGAATTGCATTTTTCTATTCTCTTCCCCCCTATTCCCTTACCATAATATAAAGATGTATGGAGAAGGCTTTTGTCTTTTTTAGAAATTGACAGCTACCTATTTATGTATATTCCATGCACAATAGTATGTACTTCATCTAACTTTTCTAATCTTCTTGGATAAGACTGCAAAGGATACAAATGGAAATAGTCTTTGGATAACAGGGCATTGTCTATTAGCTGAAATCTGCTACTGCTCCCTTGAGGTATATGAAAGAATTTTATATACAACAACACACTTATCTGAATGAGGAATATCTCCTTTCATAGTCTCTCAGGAGATGAAGTGATCTTGAATAGCACTCATCTCCAAATTACAGGAAAGTCAATTGGTCTCAATAGATACATGATAGCAATATCCAACATAGAATGTATGCGCTACAACTGAGCTACTAAACTCAAAGAGTTGTAAAAAGAGAGAGAATTGCATACACATTCTTTGAAATTGTCTTTTGACTGTCTATTGTATGGCTTGTTTTTCCATGATACAGTTACCTTGATTTAGTAATTCCCACTAAACTGTGATTATATTGATTTAGTAATTCAGATGAAGTTGTGATGTTATGCCTAGCATTCATTCCTAACTAAGAGTGTGTCTACAGAGACTGGTTGCTCTTTCCTGTGATTTGGACAAGACGGCAATTCAAGCTTCCTTCAACTCCATCAGCTCTTGAGAGGAGCTGTAAAACATCACAGTTTGTACACTTTGTATCTCTCTCTCTCTTTTTTTTTTAAATGTACTTTCCTAGTATGTTTGCAAGTATGTGGAGGTGGGAAAAATCACTATGCTCATTGGTGTTGCTTGGCTTAAAAACACAAAAAAGAATTGTACAAAAGTGGGACAGTTGGCAGAGTTTAAATCACATGTCCTTTTGATGAGCTCTCAAGGATAGCAGTAGGGTATGCCAAAACCTCATCTTGGCTATGGCTGATAATCAAGAGGATGCTGAGGATCATGCACTTGATGACTTCTCATGCAGAATTGTGCCAGTGTGGGCACCTACAATACACAGGCACCTGAATACGTATAAAGATGATTTACACAGACAGTTGCCATCCCCAAGCCCAGACAGACTTCCTTTCCTAAACACATTTAGGCTTTCAGAAGCGTTGCAGAAGGGATGTTAGGCAAAACCACCATTTGCCCTAATTAAGTTATTGATACTGTATTCTGTGATAAATAATATTTTCTTCCCCATTTGAGACCATCTGCCATTGATTTGTGTTCATGAGGATTAGTCTCCTTTTCATACTCTTGCTAACTCACCTACTGTGTGATCAAAACAGCTACCACCTTTGGCAAGAGTACAGCAGAGAGCGTGCCAGGCAAAAGTCTCCACGCTCCCTTTCCTGGCTTCTTTTCCATATTTCCAGTAGAAGCTTTTTCCTGCTTTCCCTGACAGTGAGCTTTGTTGCTGCCTCTTCATTGTCAGTGCACATGCATTTGTCTTGTCTTATTTTTACATCTTGACTAGAACAGAATCTGTAAATCTATTTTAAAATAAACTTTGTTTTCTTTATTACAATGTTAGCTCAGTCCAAAGCTTAGGGTATTTTTTTTAAGACTTGTGAATAAGGCCTTGGCTGCTCTTTTTTATCAGTAATTCCTTTACTAAGGTTGTCTTTTTCTCAGTTCAAATTTATTAAAACAAAACAGTGCAGGAAGGAGCAGGCTGTGATTAACAGGGAAAGAACACCAGTTTCTGTATGCCTGTAATTATTTTTATATGGCACTAAAGCCTTCAAAGTGACTGAAATTGAATTTTAGATTCAGAAAGTGCTCAAAAAGAGCCCTGTCACTGAAAGATAGGATTACCTTTTTCCTGATTTCCAGATAAATCTTTTATTCCTTTTCTCAACCAGGGAATACTAGAGGGAATAATGCTGGCAAGTAATAGTAAGGTGTGTTCCTGTAGTATTTGGAAGTGAGATGCTTAGTTTGTTTCTTTCCTGTTTCATCTCGAAAATCAGACATGCCCTCCTATATTCTGACTGCCTTCAGAAGTGTGACTAAAATTGCTAATCTGATCTTCTCAGGTCTTACTGTTCTCATCCTCATCACTCCCTCCATGTTCATGTCATCTGTCCAATTTGACATAGATTATTGTTTTGCCTCAAAAACAAACATGGTACAGCAGTCTTGCAGTCTTTCAGGCCCTGGGTAGCAAATTATAAAGAGCTCCCTATTGTAACAACTTCAATGAGGTATGGAGTTGCCTCATCTTTATAGTCTTAAAACATGTGGAGAAAGAGAGGAAAGAATTAATCCTGGAAGTCTTTCAATCTGCTAAGACTAATACTATTTCTTTGAAGAACCTGTACCTGAAGTGCCAGTAACCACTGCCTGCTACCTGTGGGTAAACTCAAAGGATTTCGTGGTATCCAGTGAAGCGTGAGATCCAGTAATAAAGCTTGTATGTTCATATCATCATCATCAGAAGCTTTCCACCTCCCAATAAATGTCATTGTAGTGTAGGCAACAGAAAAGTTCTGTTCCACTTTGAGAAACACCTCCTGTTTCTATGTTCTTTCCAACAAACTCCTCAAACTTCATGCTTCATTTGTGTTGGTTTGGGGTTTTTTTCCCCCTCCATTATTTGTCTTCTGCATACTAATAGATGTATCCCTGGTTAAAAAGATTCCATTGAGGGAAAAGTTTTCCATGTGGCAATGAAGAGTGTTGAATATGAACCAGATTCCTTTGATTCCCTCCAAGGACAACTGTGGTTGCTTGCTGTATGGCTATGAATAGGAAAACTTATGCCAACAAGTCATTAAATGGTGCCCTGAAAGCCTTAAAAATAATAATAAAGTAAAAAAAAATAATCTGGAGCTGATCTTTGTCCTCTAACAGAAACATTAGCTATGTATGGTATTTCCATAGTATATGAGATGCTTTCACTTCTAGGACAAAGAGGAGTTTCATCTAATAGCCAGTGTGTTCCTCTACGTCCATACTATACAGTTTTTAATTCTTAGGAAATAGATGTAACATTTGTAACAAATCCATATAGTAGCACTGAACTAATTTTTGTCCTGTAATACCTACATGGATGTATTATGTAGGCAAAAGCCTATGGACCAGCCACAGCACGTGGCCTAGGATTATTCCACTGGGCGAGTACCACTGATGCACACAACATAGTAAATACACGTTCTTCTTTATGCTTGGAATTAATAAAGCTGCAATAATACTTCAGATAAGATCATGTTCTGAATGTGTGTTTTCCTCAATGAAAATGTATTGGGTGTCTCGTAATATATACAAGTAAGTATTGGAGGAGTTCCTGAAAATACCTGAACTTCCTGTTTCCTTCCAGATGTTAGGAAGAACGTACTACTGTATCATTTCAGTTTTATTAAAGTACCATCTCAAGTGTTTCAGTTAGTAATCACCATTCTGTCTTCATTTTCACACTCATCCTATAGCTACTTATTTTTTAAAAAACCAATAAAATCTTTTAGAAGATAAAGATACCCAGAGAAAGATCAGCAGCAGCCTTTTTAATATAGGATAAACATAGTTTCTCAGAATGTGAGGAATGCTGAGTGTGCCAGTTAATTGACCTTTTTATTAGGGGAAGCAAGTAAGAATTCCTAAAAGGTCTAGCATTGTTTATTTTCGTTACATTCATGTAGGTGGTTATTTTGGTGGTCAACAAGGCCTTTGATGCACAGCTGAGAATTTCTTCTATTTATCAAGAAACAACTTGTGGGTGGCGGGTGCTGAGCCTCTTCATTAGACCAGAGCAGTCAGGGAATCCCAGGCTTAAAAACTATTGTGAGTTCCAGAGGTTCGATGCTTTACAACAATGGTTTCAGCATCTCTTTACTAGAAGATGTAGCCTTAAAGCTGAACTGGCCAGAGAGAACTGATCAGCATCTGAACACAGACAATCCGTGTTGTAGCCTTCAGAGTCTGCTTTGCAGCACTCTTTGTAGAGACACAAGTTATCACTACAAGCTTTGGAGTTTTGAAGATGTATGTATTGTTTCAACATAAGGAAGTTAAGTATCCACTGCAGATCATCATAAATGTCCTGCACAGTCGTTACCAACAACTACCATCTCATTCTTGAGCCTTAAATGGATAGAAGTAAAGCATTACAAGATTAGGTTTCTGCTATAGGGTTATTCTTCTTTTAATCTCTGCTTTGTCTGCATTTTTGTACCCTTCTTCATGTAACCCCACATGACACTGAAGAAATAACAAACATTTAGAGGCTGGCACGTCAGGTCCCTCATCACAACCTCTGTGTTACTCACAACTTTTGGTAGCTGTGCATGGAGCGCTTTTTCCTCTTTTTGATGTGTTAAGAGTTTCAAAATGGCAGTGGCAGGGCAAAGAAGTGTTCAGTACAGAATGGCCATCCAACTTACCTGTGATGCCAAGCTGTGGGATGCTGGGGCTTTCTGTTAAATACTGAACAGTTGCTGAGGAATGTTACAGGGTATGAACATAAAAATCAGGTGCGTGAATACATATCATGAACGCCAATTCATATAAGGTAGTCAGACTGAACCATCTCATTTAAAACTAACCTTTCTCTTCACCTTTTTGCTCAAAGGTAACAAGTCCTTGGAGGCTTTTACGTGAAAGAGTTCATTTTCCTTTTGATGTCAGCTTGGGAAATTCTCATCCAGAAAATGTTGTATGCTCTGCATGTTTTTAAACATTGTATATGATTTGTCTATTTTTCTAATAGCTGAACTCTGCTATCTTAGAAATGTGGATGCACGTTCGGAGCATCCTACACTAATTTTATTTTGAATCGAAATGTTCATATAGGCAAGGTTTCACCTTAAAAAAGGTTACATCTTTAAAAGAATGGCTATTATTGAATGCAAGACTTTAAAATATAATACTGTATGTTACATATTTATATTTTTATATGTACATATAAAATATTTATCTATAAATATATTTTTAAATACCAGAAAGCATCAAAAGAAAATCCACACTGACTCCAGGAGCGTTACGATGCAGCTTGAGAGCTTGCCTGGAAATCACCTTTTCTAGTTAAACTTAGAGGTCATTTGAGTTTCTGGTTTGCTTTGGTTTTTTTTCTCTGCTCTTTTTGCATGCTAAGAGAAGTCAGTGATACAGGAACTTGCACTCCCTTTCCAAATGTTATTGGTTGGGACTCACTTCAGCCTGTAATCAAAACTGTCTTCGTAGTTATACCCTTCTCTCCTGCTTAGTAGCCCGTTGATTTAACTGCTTTCTTCATTTGAGCTCAATAATATGCATTGCAGTGGTGACACAGCTATTTTATTTCATCTGCTAGCATGAGAGGAAGTTGAAACAAATAAAAAAGCTAAATATAATCAAGGGCCTCACCCAGCTCCCAGGTATCAGATTCTACGCTAATCTGTAACCAGAAGGGCCATGATCGGACATCCTCAGCTCAGGTTTGCTGGCAGCAGGTAGAGATGACCTGCATCTCACCGTAGAAATCATGAGTCCTAATTCAGTCACAGTCAGTCAGTTTCCCTAAATACCTGAAGAAGATGGTTTGCCTGACGTTCACTAGAGAAAGCGAATATAATGCCTTTTACCACAGAAATGGTTACCTCCAAGAGAGGGGCAGCTGTTTACAAAGTGCATGTGTGTTCACAACCTATTTCTTCTCATGCTTTGTGAATGAAATAAAGTAAACAGAAAGTTTTATGGCTTCAGTAGTAGCTGGATCAGGTAAGAAATAAATCAGTATACTCATTTGTGTTCTATTTTGGTCTTTATTTTGGAAAATGTGTATATATTGTTCCGCAGTTAATACTTTCTTAATCATAATGTAGAAAAACAAGTTCTGGAGTAACATGTGATATATACACATGTGTGTGTATATATGTGTGTATGTGTCTGTATGTATTTTGATTTCTTACTTCTGAAAGAAATCAATATATTCCTGTTTCTTACAGTTGTTTATTCCTTTCCATGTATTTTCACATACATTTTCAGTTAAAAGCTATATGGCTTCCTTTGTTTAATAAGAACATAAATTTTCAGGTGGGCTTTTTGAATCAGCAAATCAAAAACATGATTTGGAGCTATGATTAATATTGTTAAATTGGAATAAAATCTTTGGTCTTAATAGCTGTAAATCTTTTTTAGGAAGTCAGCTTATTCTACTCTGTTCTTCCAAGCAAAATAACTGATGTATATTTTTAAAATGGGAATACTTTCAAGCTAGATGAATTCTGAAAGTGTACATTACTCATTTAAGTATAACATTTGGTTGACCTAAAACTTCTATTTCTTCACTTATTCCCTAGCTATTGTCTCATCACTTGAGTCTCAATTCAAGACCTCTATAGAAAGCTGCGTAGGAAAAGATTATTATTCTTTTCTTCTTCTTCTTTTTTTTTTTTTTCTTTACCCAAAGAGATCAATTTAAAATGAAACCTGACAATCTTATGAAAAGAATTGTATGTATTTGCTTGCAGTAAAAAGATACTGGTATGAGTGATTCAAAACGTCGGTGGAAGTTCCAGCAAATACGTACCACCTAACGATGTGTGACACTTGTCAGGATACCAGCTCTGCACTGAGCTCTGTAACTTACTCATGTGCTTAAATATTTACATGGACAAAAATAGGTATTGGCACATGCCTGTGTTCTTCCCTTTAGCAGCCAGGCCTACTTGGCCAAACTCTTGTTGCTGCAATAGGCTCAACAAAGGTCTGTGGAGAAGACATACTGGAAGCAAACTTTTTCATGGCTTTCTGAATGCCTGGATGTCGTTCCTCAGTGACAGGAAAAACTTTTCAGCATATATTTATTTGAAAATTTTAATGGAAGTTTAGCATAAAGTTATATTTTAATCTGATTTTTTTTTTTTTTTAGTCTTTCTAAGATGCAGGGTAACTATTTTCATATAGTTCCATTACTGTGACAGTTATTTTTTAAGCATGTTTCTAGGCTCCCTTTTTATAGACTGGAAGCACAGGTTTCCTTCCCCCATGTTGGATATTAAAAAAAAAAATGATTAAAAACCAAAAGTTAGGATTCATTTTCAGGTCATTAACTAAACTGAAGGATGTGTTAGCCTCTGATTCTATTTTTTTTTAATCATTAATAATATGTAATGTTTGTAGTAGCAATTGTAGCTAGCCTTGTTTTGTGGATTAAATATGAGATCCTGTAAACAGGAGTTCTCTGTTTTATTTATGTGTTTTGATTTCTTAATGTGTTTTTTCTTGCTCTAAGAATGTCTATGAGTTCACATTCATTTATGCGATTAAAACTGCCGATAATGAAAACCTTACTGGGAGCCTGTAGTAAAATGCTGGATGCTGGTGCTTCATAGGATGTGCTTTGGAAACTCGCAGACATATTTACCAGTGAAACAAAAACAGGGGTGGGAGGATGTTGCTATTTCCAGCTTCCTAAAGATTTGCATGATGCAATCACTCTGCACCTTGTGTCCTGATAATCTTTTTTTTTTTTTTAACACCTTTGAGACCCATTAGGTTTAACCAGGCAAATGAAAAACAAAACCAAGCTGTGTCCATTTTATTAATTGGAGTTTTGAAAGTTACAAAGTAATAGTGTTCTTAATAGTGTGGTGTTTCTCTTCAGTTTACTAGTTGGTTGTCGCCCTTTTGCTTTAAGCAGATGCAGAAAAGGATACATCTTTCAGTAGAATCTCAGGAAAACTTCTTAAATTTGTTTTATTGTTACAAAAATTATGTTAGCAAGCTCTTTAATGAACTGCAAAAAAATATTTTTTTTTCAGCTTGCAGACCACAGAGAGATTCGTAATACGTATGGTCTAGATTCCCTTTGCCATTGCCCATTGTATGAAGAAGCTATGCACTTAGCAGAAGAAGGCAAAATTTATTCACGAGTCTTAAGGTATTGATTTATGTCTACTTAACTGTTTCCGAGAAAAACAAGAATTAATGTTAAATATTCTAGATAGAATTCATTTTTTAGAAGTTGCTTGTACTAGGTATTTTTTCTAGGAATTAGACTTACTTGAATTTTCTTGTGCTTCTTTTTTTATTGGTCTTTGAAAACTTTTCTATTTTCTATAGGACTGAAATGTTTGAATGTCTAGGAGACAGTGACTTCCTTGCTAAGCTTCATTGCATTCGACAAGCTTTTCAGGTAAATAGTAAGGAGGGTGCTTTGTCTGTCTGTCCCTCTTGTTAAACCTAAAGTACGTTGGCTTTATTAATGCACTACCTGTGCAAGCATTTTCATAACATACTCTGTAATTAAATAGTTTCTTGTTGCTTTTACATTTCTGTAATTCTAAAATGGAACGTATTTGCAGAGGAGTCCCGGTTTTGTGATTAGCTTTGGAACCTTTGCACCAAAGGCTTATTAGGAACTTACCTACTATAGTAGTGATTATAATTATATTAATTTTGATAGAAGTGTTTAAGGTCGCTTAATATAACCTGTGAATGAATATGTTTATATTTTCTGAAACCTTTTCTAGATAATTCTTTCAGAAACAGCAAACAGAATATTTCTTGCTGAAAGTGGAAGAAAAATTTTGTCTGCTTTAATTGTGAGAGCACGAAAGGTAAAAGCCTTTTTTAACTAATGTTTTATTGTTAATGTAACTTCTACCAGAAGCCACTTTCCAGTATAAATAAACCATCTCTCTTGTTAATTTTGCTTGATACTCATTGCTTTTACTTTACAGAATCCAAAGAAATTTGAAGATGTCTTTGATGAAATGATATATTTTTTGGAACAAACAGATCACTGGGATAATACTGAAATGGAACTTGCTGCTAGAGGAGTGAGTCTGAATTTCTGAAAAGTGTTTTTACCCTAAATTTTGCAAGCTATAACATCTAAAAATAAATTTTTACAGTTCAGAATGTTGGGAAAAGTAAATCCTTTTTGTTTACATTGCTGATTTAGAGAAATGGCATCCATCACTGCAGTTTAGTATCAGAAAGCATGTATTAATTTTTTTAACTTCTCCTTTACTGACAAAGTATCTTTAATAGTCATTCAAAACAATTCTAAATCTGCATGTTGATACAGAGTTAGAATATGGTGTGTGCTGAATTCCACTGCTGAAAGAAAAACTAGGTTACTTAGATCATGTTCTGATTTAATATAGGTGAAAAACCTGAATTTTTATGATGTTGTTCTGGACTTCATATTAATGGATTCATTCGAAGATTTGGAAAATCCACCAATATCTATACAGAATGTAGTAAATAACCGCTGGCTAAATTCCTCTTTTAAAGAAACAGTAAGTATTTATGTGTAATTTTCATACACATAATAGTGTGTATGAAATAGTGTGTCTCTATAGTATAGTTCAGTAAGTAGGTGGTACGATCAGTGTAACATTGGTGTGAGCATTCTGATACAAAATTTCTGTATGTGCCCAAAACTGTTCTTCCAGCAATCTGTGCTTTATATTCTTAAATGAGAATATAAAAATGAGAATAAATCCAACAACTGCAGGATAAAGACGGTATGTATTGTCTTGATAATAGCATTTATCTTGAAGCAAAGAAACTACACTGTCCTTCATCTAAAGTCAGCTTACAATATAATTGAATATATACCTGAAATATTCCACAGAAAAAAAATAAGCATTATATTATCAGTTTTTTTCATTTAAAAGCTACCAGTCTGGGCCCAAAATGTATAGAATGATTGTATGTATTGTAGAAAATACTTTAACTTGTTCTGCAAAAACGAGTTTTCTCTGAGGAAGAGTTCCTTTTAGAAGGGAACTTTCTGTTATCCACATCTTAGATATTAGATATATTAGATATAGGGTTTGGTTCACATACCAGAGGTTTAGCGATAAGGCACAAAGTTACAAGCAAATAAAAGTAAATTAATGCAATACAGGCATTCAAATGTTGGTAACATTTCATGCTTTTTCAGATGTGCCTGTTAATTTGTCAAATAGATCTCATCCCTCTGTTATAGACAGGCTAGTGCCATGGTCAGCTGGTAGAGATACTGCTGTCATTTCATCCATTTATATCTATAAATGGCTGGTTTTCCTTTTATTTTTATCTTTCAATTGAAAGGGGGGGGAAGGTAACATGCATGTATTTATTGTTGCAGTTATGTGATAACATTGTGTTTTGTGAGTAGTAAATGATCTTGCAGTGCTGAAAGAGAATCAGATGAGGAGAGTTACCAGCTCCGAGGGGAGAAAACCCAGTGCTGATACTGGTATATTCTATTTCACAGGTCCATATTTGGACAAAACTCCTTAGCTGAATCTGAAGCTATTGCAAGAATGTTTTTGCTAAAAAGGACATTTCAATGTGTTCACATGCTGCTTAATATCTAAAATAAGTTACTTATGTCTGAGCACACACTTTGGTATATGAGAGACTGGCTCTCAGTTAAACCCAGTGAATGTTGCGAACTGTTGCAACTGCAAAATCGGTCAAGGATGCCAAATTACATTTGAATTAAACTAAAGAAAATGTTGAAAAGTAAGATCTGCAAATAACAAATATGAACTACATGTAAAATTAGGTTTTTTTATATCAGCTGATATTTTACAGTTTTAAACTTGGTGTTATCCCAAATTGAAACTGCAGAAAATGCAAATCCCCAAAATACAGAAATACGGTATTCTGCAGATCACTTCTTTTGGGATGAAGGGTGATTTCTCTTATAATCAAGTTACACAGAGTCTGGGGCTTTTCTTTTTTTTTACATTTAGGCTGTGGCCTCGAGCTGTTGGTCAGTGCTGAAACAGAAAAGACAGCAAATGAAGGTAAGTTGCCTTAGACCTGGGAGGCAGATGCCCCGTCTCTGTAGTAGCCAGTAGACAAGCAGAGCTGAGGCTCGCTGCAGGACAGCCCTAGCCTTTAGAAGGGGTTTTGCATGGCACAGGTGAGGAATCTCTGCTCAAGTGATTGGTGCTGACACCTTTCTCTGGTTCTAAGAGCAGCTACTTGTGTCATTCCCGAGTGCTAAAAAGACATCTAATTGTAAAAAAAAAAAAAAAAGTTGCTTCCAATGGCAGTTAGGATTTTGTAAAAGATCTTCAGCTGCTGTTATGTCTTAAGACTTGGGATGATACATCCCTGTGTCAATATCATTGGGAATTTTATATAAATAGATCTTTTCTACACCAATTTTATATAAAGGGATTATATCTCCAAAATAGATGTTATAGTAACCTGTTATTTTCATCTCTATTTCAACGCACAACTACCTTACTTTTTAGTTCTCTTATATACTGAACTTTTATTATTTGTAACTTTGTAAATATCTGAGTAACATTGCTCCTTGGGACTGGTTTGATCAGCGCTGCTGGAGTCACTCAAAAGTGGATAAAGTTGAGCACCATGGAAGGCTTTGGAACAGAGAGACTAACTGTTCTACAAGCAGTTTGATGATCTTAAATTTACTTATGGGCAGTTTTACATGGGATTTCATGTTTTAATTTATGATTAATTTCTTTTTTAATTATTTCATAAATGAACTCTTGTTGCAAAATTATAATTACATGTTTATGAGTATATAAAATAAACTGCACACTCATATATAATATATAAATTTATACTGTATTTTATTTTATGAGTACCTGTAGGCTATAAAGGTAACAACAGGATGAACTTTCACAGATACTTTATCTTTTTCTTGAGACTTAAAGATGGTTTCTTGTAAGGTGTAATGTTTTTCTATTCAAAACTGTGCAATTTGCTTACTTTTATGCCGATTTCAGCTATACATAGTGTATAAGGGTTCAAACAGGAGTAACTGAATGAAGTTATCTGATCTGTCATATGGGAGTCAGAGTAGATTGTTCATGATCTTTTTCGGCTTATGCCGATATTTAAATATTTAAAGTACATAGTACCACTGAAGTAAAAACCTCTTCTAAAAAATCCTGACACTTTTTTGGTACGGGTGCCCTATAACTTAAATGAGTTCAAGTTACCACAGCCAGCCCTGAAGTAGTAGGTGGTTTAGGCTTTTCTGAAGACTTATTTTTGTGTAATAGAGATTTATACTAAATTTACTGTGTAACTTTTGTCTACAATTTTTACATCACTAGGTACCCGATGGATTTTTTGCACATTTCTATGCCATATGTGAACATATCAGCCCTGTTTTGGCTTGGGGCTTTTTGGGCCCCAGAAATTCCCTTTATGACCTATGCTGCTTCTTCAAGGTTTGCAACTTCTTTTTTAATTACCATGTATCTTAATTTAAAAAAACTAATAGTCTTCCAGATTAAAAGAAATTAGGCTAAAAGAAATGAGGCTCTTATTTATAGGCATACATTTGTATTTTCCTAAGATTAAGACTAGCATCAAGAAACCATGAAAATAAATATTTTCATCTTAAATTTTTTTAAGCCTAGAACTGTTCTGTGAAGTCTATTTTAGCGCATTTCTGTTGTAGCACTAAAGAATACATAAATGGATGTTTTTAGGAAATGTACGAAAGAAATAGCTTTGCATACTTTTTTTTTTCTTCTTGTAAGTGAATACAAGTTTTTCCTTTTTTTTTTTTTTTGTTTCCCCCCCCACTAGGATCAAGTGCTTTTCTTCCTCAAAGACATTTTTGATTTTGAAAAGGTGAGATACTCAACTATGGAGAGTTTGGCTGAAGATCTCATGCAGTTATTGATCCGACACACGGAACTTTTAATGGCTTATCTTGGAGCAGATTCGCTGAGACATGTCAGCTCCTGCGTGAGCGGCCACGAGCATGTCGTGACCAGTGGGCTCTTAGAAGCAAAAGTACAGTAAGCTTAAAACCCATGGCTTTTGAAATGAAACGGAGTGCACTTTGGTGTGCTCCTTCCCACCCTTCTCTCTAACCCCAGCGCTGTCGTTGCTGTTACTGAGCAAGCGTCTGAAACCGTGTCGTGTCGCTAAGTGTGGAAAAGGACTCAGGGAGGTTGAATGTGCATCTGTGAAAAGAACTGGTGAGCATATTATTGTATATACCTAAATTAAGTTTGCAGCTCTGCTGTCACTGTATTTATACATAATATCCCAAAGCTTTTTTCTGTAATATTTGGGTAAAGTTTATTTATAAAATACTGTACTTTTGCACAGATAATTTGTAAGTGAAGCTGATGGAGTTGTTTCCCTTAAAGGCTTATAGTATAAAATGTTCATTACAGAGTCTCCAAATCATTGTGTGTCTAGATCTAGAAGGTGTTTTGCCTGGGGTATATGCAGTCTCTGATTCATGTGACATGTGCAATAAAGTAATCACACTTAAAAAATCAATCATGTTGCTACTGCCCTGAAATTACATTTGTGTGGGTGTAAGCAGTCATTTTGTACTACCATGTTACAGAGTGATGCAGGAAATGCAGGCACCGTTTGGGCTGGAATGACTTCCAGTATGCTTTTTTTACATTTTTTTTTTTTTTTTTTAAATCTAAACATCATGAAGATGTTTGAGAGCACTTATTTATATTGACAAAGCTATGCTAGCTTTGTTGTCCCAAAGCAGGGTCTTTTACCTGGTGTGCAGATGCCAAGATACACACAGAGTAGAGGTATAACCTATTTGTTTCATCTCTGCAGAGATGGGTGCTGGGTGGCAATCCACAAAGCCAGCACACCGGCCTGAAAACTCCTTAAGAAAATTTATACGGTTCAAAACACAGAAATATACACCTTTGATTATAATTATTGGTTGGTACCTTATCTTAGCAGTTGCTATTGGTTGGTACAGTCTCTCACTTTCATGTCAAGTGACAAGTTCCTTTAATTGATGTCCTCACACTCCAGCAGGAGGGAGAGTCCAATCCGGCCTCCAGTTGAGTTGGTGGTTGTGATCTCCCACTGCCACCTTTACCCTTCACCCACGTACTGCAAATTTTTATTGACTTTATGCCTTATCCAGCAGCTGTCTGGTTTTCAGCTGGTTTCAGCGTCTCCTGTTGTGGGATGTTCCTTTTTATCAGTTTTCTGTTCTTCAAGAGTATATTCATTAGTGAGGCTTTTATTGTTTATAGCAAGTGTCTGGTTTCCTTCTGACCCTTTTACAGCTCTTTGTTTTTACCTAGTGAGAAATTCTACCTTCTAAAATACATGTTACCTTTTTAAAAGTACATTCTACCATCTTAAGGTACATCAGCTTCATCAATTAATTTAAGACACTTCCTTTTTTCTAAAACTGACACTAATTTATATTGTGGTGGTAAATAAGCTAATACCATTCTCAGTTCATATGTAGCATTTCAAAATATATTTTTAAATAAGAATGTATGATAAGATTTGTTAATCATGAAACAAAATCAAAGGCAGTGTTTTGTAATTAAAAGCATTTTCGTCTTCCTCCCTTCCTTGTAGGAAGTTAGGTGTCTATTTAAGAGGAAATTAAAGCAATTGTGGCCATGTATGTGCAATGCAAAACTGTAGCTCAGATGTGGAACCCTGAACTTTAGACAGGAGCACAGCTCAGTAACCAGGCACGAGGGAACTTGCAGTAACGTTTTTTTCCTGTGCTAAAGGTAATAAATAATGATGACCTATAATATTTGAATTTCTGTGAACTGAAACAATGTTTCATAGTTATCTTAGGCTTTTAAACTACAACTTACATACGCTTTGCCACACAAAGCCAGCCCACAGGAATCTATCCTGTGTCAAGTAATAGAATGTAAGTAATTACAGAGTAATTCTAAATATTCAGATACTTAAGAAGCATGTTGTTAAAATCTAGCGTATTGAAACAAACTTTGATTAGAAATATTTCAACTTTCGTTGCAAACAGAACCCAAAACAATGATGCCTGAAAAGGAGAGCCTCTGTAATTTCATAGGTTTTACTGATGCTGACATTTCGCTCCTTTGTTGTACTCATTTGAATAAAAACAAAAATGATGAAAATGTGTCATATGACTTGTGTACATGTAGTTTATATATTTAAAAAAAAAAGTATACTTCTATGTGTAATAAAACAGAAATTCCAAATGCTGCTGTTGCCCTTTTCCACCATTCAAGTTGCTGAGCGTGGCACCACGTTCTGTGCTGTACTTGTCTCTGAGAAGTGTCCTCAGTACCAGAATGGGAAGGTTTTTTTCACCCATCTCACTTATCTTAAGCGTATTTACCTCCCCCCACCTTACTGCTCAAAAGTATCTGTATTTTGGCAGCTTTTCGCAAGTCTATGAATGAAATGATATGGAACAGTAAGGTGTCTCGTTGGGAATAGCTGGAAATAGAAATAACAGAGTCAATGGCACGTTCCACAGCAAATGGACCTGGAGGTTGCAGCGTGTCAAAGGAAACCGTCTGCTGTGGCTTGTCTGGTCTAATAAAATGGTATTAAGAAAATGACACCCTAACGTTTATCACAGAAAAACAGAAATGTGCTTTTTCCCGGAAGTTAATGTATATTTAAGTGATTAATTTTCATATTATTTATAAAAAACTCTTGAAGAAGGTGTAACAGTGTTCCATATGAGATTATAAATGTTTCCAGATAGTTTAAAAGTCACTTGTCTGTTGAAACTGACAGGTGGTTTTTTTTGAACAGAAGAATGAAGGAGGTCTAACTAAACACCAAATATTTGGAAAATGGGTAAGAACCTGATAATATCTGGCTTAAGCAAATGTATCCCTTTAAATCAGGAGCACTTCTATGTGCTCATAGAGGTCTCAAGAGTCCTTAGAATCGGGTTGGAAATTGGACATATGTGTTTCCCATCCAAAATCCCAGAATCCCTGGTTGCTGTAAGATACCACCACCAAGTACTTGATCCAGAAACAGTTAAGAAATTAAGAAGGAAGTAGAGAGAGAGGGGAAGAGAGAGGGGATGAGAAGAGAGAGAAAGAGGGAAATCTGCAGGTACATGTGGGTAGGCTTTGGCATCTCCTCTTTGGACATGGGATCTCCTCTTTGGACCTTTCCCCAAAAATAATTCCTGAGCTGTACATATACACGGGAGACAGCTGTCTCCTTGTACCAGGGAACTGGAATCAGTTCTCTTACAACCTAAGGTTTAGGCACCGTTGCTAGAAGCTCCATAAAGAATATCTGTTGATAACGAGCCATATGGCTTGAGAATTTCAAAAGTCCTCCATCTTTCAAAACACAAGTGCCAGAGCCGCACAAAAGCAATGATGATATGATAAAATTCCACCTTAGTGAATTCATAATCAAAATCCCAATTTAGGTTATAATCTTTAAATTTTTAAATAGTTTTGACTGCCACTTTTCACGCTAATAAGAACAAACTAAATTTAAAAGCCATCCTCTTCTGTCATAACTGTACTCCTAAGCTCAGAAATGTTGAATGTGTAGGGATTATATGAGAATCAAATATTTATATCATTTATAATTTAGTTGTTATAATAATCTCGCTTTTAATGCGTTCTTAATGATTATTATACTTCACTTTTGTAGTCTTTGGTTTCTATCAAAGCAAACATGTCAAATCATGAGTCAGAGTAAGTGTATTTATGAACTTTCTACTGCCTACATGAAATGCAGTTGTATATATTAAATAAAATAATTCAGTGAAACAGCTGTTGCTCCTATCTAAAACTTGAATTTGCTCCCTGAAATGCAACAAAACCCAACTATTACAAGAAGTTACTGTATACATGAAAACTAAACTGAAGGGGAACAGCTTTTGAGCTGTTCAGTTTAAAGTGATTTTAGCAACCTGTTTAATTTTGCTTCTATTAACCGCTCTGCAGCATTGGTACATTTTCAACACATGGGCCAGTGATCCCCCAAAAAGCCGAACAGCAGGGAAAGCCCCTGCCCTGTCCTGTCCTTCAAAAGGCAAACACCTTTTGTGTTTTAACTTCGATGCCTGTTTTTCAGATTTGCAAAGCCTGAAGTCATGTGGCTATCGGCCTCGGATTTCTAAATCCAGCTGACAGTTAGACTCCAGTGTGGCAGACACGAGTGAGATACAGGGAGAAGGGAAGTTCTGCGCTGGAGACCTCGCAGTTGGGCGTGTAGGAAACGAGTCATCTTTAAGAAGGAAAAGGAGCGCATTCAGATGTAATAAAATCATGTGCCTGCCCCTGCTTCGTAAAGTTTCCAGAGAAAGGCGCTGCCTTGAACCCGAGCCGCCCCCCGTCCCGCGGGCCTGGCAGTAGCTCCGCGCCACCAGCGAACTGTCACATCGCTATTATTAGTCCGTCGCTCTCCCTCTGCCATAAAACGACCTGGGGCCTGACCGCCGCGCCTATAAAGCCTCCCCCGGGCCGGGCAGGCACCAGCGGCGGTGGAGCGTTCGCTGCCAGCCCGGCGCGTCCCGGTGAGAGCCTGCGGTCGGTGCAGGTAGGCGGTGACCGAGCCCTGCCATCACCCGCGGCGGGAGAGGGCCGCGGGGTGCCGCCGCCTCAGCCGCCGCCAGGTCGGCAGCGGGTCCCCGGCCCCTCCGCCCGCGGGGCCCCCTCCGCCAGCCGAGGAGCGGCCTCACTCCCCCGGTTATTTATAGCTCCGCGGTGCTTCCAGCCCAAAATAAGCCCTCTTGGCCGGGCTGGGAGGGGGGTGGAGGGGGGGAGCCGGGCTTCGCCCCCCGGCAGAAAAAAATGTTCAGTGCCCTCCGGGATGGAGCAGCCGGAGCTGCCCTG